AGATTCAGATGGTGCCCACTCTCCTGAGCTTTCGGAAAGCCCTTAGACCTGATTCTATTCTCAGGCCTGGGATTAATGTAGGTGTGACTCATTGGCCAATAGATATACATACATACATACATACATACATACATACATATGCACGCGCACACACACACACACACACCATATGTGCATGTGTGTGTATGTATGTATGTGTGTGTGTGTGTGTCTCTCTCTCTCTCTCTCTCTGTATTGTTTGCTGTTCTAGTTGTTTTAGTCTGGGCTGCTTGTGTTTGTGGGTATTAAGTGTAAGCCACCCAGAGTCTTCTGGAGTGGGCAGCTATATTAAATTGAATAAATTAAATTGTCAAAGTTAGGCATTGATACGATGATTTTCTTAGTTACATTTTAATTAGAATAAGGTTCCTAAACCCAATTATATCTCTGCATTAATTCTGCAGCCAAATTTCCAATATAGCCTTTTAAAAGGTATTTTTAATCTGAAAGTAAAAAGAGTTTTATTTTCTGCATCTTCTATTAGAAGATCTGAGAGAAACGTCGATGTTGGATCCCAATGATTATACCACATTAGCTTATCTGGCTCTTACACCAGCCACGTATATAATGCAGAAGCATTTTAGCATATTATTTTACTACAATTTGGGTGGGGTGTAGGGTATATATGCTAGTGATCTCTAGGGATGTGAGAAACAAGAAAGCTTTAGTATTTCCAAACAAACATCACAGCAGCAATCGTGTTTAAGACAATTCCCTCAAATGTATATTTCTTCAATAAATGCAGACATATGCAATCCCACCCTGAGTTATGATACAATTAGAAGCACTACAAATGGATGGTCTCATGTATAGTAGAAGAGTTCTCCCTGACAAAACATAGGTCAGACATTATGCAGATGGAATCCAGTGAGCAGTTCTAAAACCCACAAGGACGATATATGATTTTAAGCAACTGAAAGAAGATCCAATTAATTTTAGTATTAAGAAATAAAATCCAATTGTTCCTTCATAGTAATAATAAAAAACTTAGAATACTGGTCATTTGCTGACCTGTACCAGATCAGCAGAACTGTCATTATGAGACTGGGCAATTTACCCTACCTTACTGGCCCAGTTATGTACTGTATATTGTTAAAAGTTCTTAATAATAACTGTTTAACCCATTAATTAAATGCTTTTAATTAATCAGTCAATTGTTTAAATCCATTAATTAAATTTTAACCTATTTATGTTCTCTTTTAAAAGAAATTCAACTTTTAGACCTACTTATATTCTGCTACAGCTCCACTTTTTAAAAAGTCCAACACCTGAACACTTCCCTCATTTAATTACTGTGCATTTTAGAACATTCAATTGTATTATTTATTAATTTATTAATTACTGAACAATTAATACTGTCCTTGATTAAGGGCTGCTCTGGATTTCACTCAGCAATTATTAATATAAGCAAAAGCCAAAGGCACTCAGACGCCAACCATCCACAGTATCCCTGGTCTTGTGGGAACTGATACTGCAGAATCAAATCTGAAAAAGCAGAACACTTGCTCACCTCCTTTCTGTTTCTGTTCTTCTGAACGCTGTCAGAATTCTGGGCCCTTAGCTGCTACTCTGCTGGTGGGAGAAGAAAAGATGGTGGTGGTACAAAGGATAGGTGAGCAAAATGGGCAGGGGCAGGTTTGAGAGAAAAGAAGTCTGGGGACTACTTTTTACAGAGGCAATCACTGTGACAACCAAAATGATTGTCCAGAGAACAGAACGGACAGCTGGCTTATCAAGGCAGAGCAAAAGTACGGTCTAACAGGACCCCAGCTTTGCCTGGGGGTAAAACTGGCACCCCCAGGGGCTGTACCCCACAGTTTGAAAGCTCATGATTTGAACATTAATCCAACTAATGGTTGTTCTAATGCAAAAGTAAAACTTAACTAACTTAATCAGCTATTTTAGAGGGAGAGGAAGTACAAAGTTTTAAGTTGGCTCAGTGTCAATTACTTAATTCTGCTTCATTTAACAAGATATCTATAACTATAACTAAACCAGGTACCTGGAGGCAATAATTCTAGTAAAATATCCAATCATACTTAAGATATATGTATATGTAAGATATATGAGCATAATGTAAGAGCTATGAATATTGAAATTATGGAAGAATGTGCTTCAGCTGTGAACTGCATCCAAAATATTTTTTTAAATCTTCACTGCATTGAATTACTAATCAAATTCTTTGAACAATTTAACTCCCAAACAGTCTGCTGGCAGTGTATGAGCTACAATCTGTCCCAAATTATATGTCTCATGTCCTGCCCCCAAATTACCTGGGGAGATTTCAGTCACAGAAGCTGAAGTACCTGATTACCCATTTCAGGTAGTTATTAAGAACTGATGGACACTAAGAATCACTAAAAGACAAAATAACCATGCTGCATGAACCCAGGTAAACTGTGAGATTAGAATCTATTATATCAGATTATAATAATACATAAATTAATGAAGCCTCTAATTAGAATTCTGAATTTATAAGTTCTTCCTTTTCTTTACTTCAAACTGATTAATTTCCTTTAATTCCCCATTACGTAAAACTGCAGCTAGACAATTAAGTGAAACTATAAAAATTTGGAATGAATATACAACAAGATTAATCAAATTGATCTGAAATCTGCTATAACTAAGCTAGAGGACTGAAACCCTATTTTTCACAGTCAAAATACTCACACAGAGAAAACTGTTCATTTACAGTTATTAAGAAAACCCAAACTCACAATTTATACTCATTAACAAGCATTCTAAAGCACAATGCCAGACAGTCATTTAAAACAAATGTCATGATCTCAACTGCATGATCCACTACCTCTGTCAAGCTCAATATTGGACACATCATTCAATCTTATGTGATGAGATCCAAATTACAATCCACAAAACTGGTTGGGTTATCACATTTTAAATTGATAAGATATGTTGACCAGCTGCCAAAAAATTACAAACAGATTTATATTTACACAGACTTACTTTTCGCCCATCACTTGCATGGCAATTCACATTTAAAGGTGTCAACAAAGCCATTAGTTTTTCTTCATTGCCACTCCTGCAAAGAAGAAATGGAAGGAAGTCCCTTATAGAATATATGAAATGGAGTTTCACATTAACATCATGTTCACAGAACCTCCTTGTATGCATTTTGACTTACAAAATATGACACTTCAAGTATTTCCTTTAAATATATGCCTATATAAACATATATCACAGAATAATTTCTTATATTTTAAATATAATAAATATACATTTCCCAAGTTGTTGCAATATTCCTCAAGACACTATAAATAGCTTCCAGCCTCTTGCTTAAGGTTTTCTGTAACATATATGTAAATGTAGGATGTGCCTTTAATCCATAAAGTAGAGAATTAAAAAATATCCTAACATATAATTTCTCATTAAAAATAGCTTTTTAAACATAATGGAATTTGAAATACATTCTGTCAAAATTCAACTATATTGTAGGATTACAAGCAAGCACCTATTTAGCTTTTTGCAAGTAGTTAAATCCAAAGGACTCATGTTAACAAGGACTGTTTATCTGCCCAATTTTATAAAAAGATAATGACAACATGACAGATCATAAAAACCCATTTTCACCCTGATTTCTACCACCTCTCTTCAAAAACAATACATTTGTATTCTGAACAGCACTTACCTAGCAGCTTCCAAGAGTTCGTCCTTCTTGTATTCACCTAAATGATTGCAAAATATCATGCTGTTAGCATTTGGCAGAAGACAGATGAAGAAATGCAGCAGGAAGCAAATACAGAATTAAACAGAGAACGGGGGGGGGGGTGACAAGCAAGCCCACACCCCGCTGGGTGATGGAGCTGTGACGTTAGTCAGCTTGTGAAAGCAGCATCACCAGTGCCTTGGAGACGGGCAGCAAATTGACGCAGCTTCTTGTCCAATCCTCAGATGAAATGGCTTTCTTCAGACAACCAATGAATGCTGAACCTCTGTCCAGAAACAATCCCTCTGATAACAGCATGGCAGCTGAATACAGTGTCTCCTCCCCCATTTTTCCTATTCAATCTCTTAACACACTAGTGTAGCATAAAGGCATTGACACACCCCAAGACTTTTTTTTAAAAAAGGTACACGTAATCAGGGTCTGAAGCCATTGGTAACCCCACAATTATCTTGCAATGGATTTATTTCAGAGCTTCTTAAAACTGTGTCAAAAGTGTATGTTTGCAGCCTTAAGAAAACCAGTGCACCATAATAAAAGAATATGGGAAAGACAAAAGTATTGTGACAGTAGCATTTTAAAATCGACCATTAAAATGGTTGTCTATTTTTGTATATTTTGGAAAGAATGCTAAATTCATACTCTGAAATTTAGTTCTATCTCACTGCCAAGTCCTCCACTATCTGAAGCATTTTGCCTCTGAAAGCATTGTGTTAATATTTTAGTCTTTTAAATCTTTATAAAAAATTGTAGTAGATAATTCTGCATTATCTAGAATGCTGAGACATTTCAGAGTAAAAGCTATGAATTCAGGGAAATAGAAAAATCTTTATAATGGCAACCTGTCTCCAAGAAAGAAATATTAAATACAGATGGGTTACTCCATTTCATTTGGGGGTCTTTATGGATGGCAAAGCTTTTATGTACTCCACAGAAGATGCTAAGAAAATGCTTGACTCATGAACTACAACACAACAGGAGAAAAAGGATCCAGACAGACAGAAGACCAAAAACTGGATCAGATGCTTTTACACCCATACATTTAACTGATCACTGACTTCATGGATCAAACTGAAATATTTTCAACAAACATTAAGAGACTGAATAGTCCATCCAAAACAGGTAAAAAAAAGAAAAGAAAAAATGAGAATGCAGACACAATATATATTCATGAGATACATATTTAAAAAGACCATGTTAGTTTGTTAGAATGTAAACATTTGGGTCAAAACCATTTGGATTCTGGTGGGAAAAACAGAGTAGCAATATATATTATGAACTTATCATGGACCATGGAATTCCAGATGAAGCAGAGAGCCTTTAATTACTAAGGTTTCAAACTGAACAAAGGAAAATTACAATTGCTTCAATTTATGCTCCAAAAGATAACAAGATAATGTAATTTTTTTCAAACACTTCTTGAAATTGCAGGATATTTTTTGATTCTTGGAAACATGGACAGGATTCTTTCCATAAATCTCGACAAATATGGTTCATACCAAGAGTTCTGCAAATTGTCAAAAATATTGTTGATTATATGTTGTTTAGAGAAAAACATTTACTTATTGTTCCTTTTCTCATAACATTTATTCAAGGATAGATATGCACTGGATACCTACACTATTACCTAAATGTAAAGAAGTTGCAGCAAATAAATTTAATTTATGCAGACCATAATCCAATAACTGCAATATTGCACAGAAGAATCACTGGTTTGAAAAAAGTAGAGATTGAATGGCCTATTATTATTACGATATCAAATTGAAGTGTCAACCTGAATTAAAGAGCTTCTTCCAACTAACTCAGCTCTTAATGTTTCTTTATTCATAGTATGGGAATCCAGTAAAGCATTTCTGAGAGGATTATTTATTTCTTTGGCATTAAATAGTAAGGAAAACTTCAGAGAACATTCTAGTCAGTTAGAGAACTCCACCATCTTTTATTCTTTATTTTACTGACCTTATTTATTGTGGTTTATTGGGTTTCATTTTATGAAGTACTCATGTTATATTTATTTTAAAATTAACTGTGGATGTCTTAACATTTTTCATAGCATGTTAGTTGCTGAGAGTCACCAGATTGTGGTAGGATGGATGGATGGATGGATGGATGGATGGATGGCTAGACAGACAGACAGAAAGATGATTCAAAACTATCACAATCAATGCAAAGCAGAAATCAATGCTGGATATAATACAAAAGATTAAAATGATTTATGAACAGCTAGAAGCAAATGAGACTTACAAAAAGGTGAATTTCAAGAAGGTATCAAAGAAGATACTGTTGTCTTACCAAATGAGAAAAGATCTATCACCTCAATATGGGATAGTAGTAAGAAATGTGTTTGAACTACTGATGAGATGATATAGCATTTTATAAAATTTTATTCTCAATTATATGGAAAACAAACAGGAGGTTTGGAAAAGACTAAAGAATACTTGGATGCAACACTAATTATGAAATGTGCACATCAGCAAAAGGAATCACTTAACAAGACTACAGTATTTCAGAAGATGAAACAAAGGAAACAATGCATTAGTTAAAATTGAATAAATTTCCAGGACCAGATGCATTTCCACTGCATTTTTGTACAGCGGAAGACTTTCAAATAAAGTTTGATGAAACCATAAACTCAAGTAATGAATACAGTACAGCAGCATCAAACACTCCTTCCTTCATGACAGGAAGATTTTATACAGACATGGCCAAAAGTATTGTTACCCCCTTTTTTCCCAAAGAATCCCAATTTGCCTTGAAATAAGTTGAAATTGACACAAATAATGGCATCCACCATTCTTTATTCCATAGTCCGTAGAGCAGACTCTCTACTTTTATTGTATGACAACATATTTTTCTAAATAATAAAATAAATAAAATTGACATGGACACAATTATTGGTACCCCTCACCTAATATTTTGTAGCACACCCTTTTGAGGCAATAACTGCAATCGAGCACTTTCTGTAGCTCTGAATAAGACTTTTACACTTCTCAACTGGCAATTTGTCCCATTCTTCTTGAGCAAACTGCTCCAGTTGTCTTAGGTTTGATAGGTTTCGTCTCCCAACTGTAAGTTTCAGCTCTTTCCATAGATGTTCTATAGGATTCAGATCCAAACTCACAGCAGGCTACTTCAGAAAGTCCACTGTTTACTTTTCAACCATTCTTGGGTTCTTTTAGATGTATGGGTCATTATCCTGCTGGAGGACCTATGACCTGTGATTAAGACACAGCTAACACTGGGCATAATATTTCACTCCAGAATGCCTTGATAATCTTCTGATTTCATTGTACCCTGCACAGATTCAAGCTACCCAGTGCTGGAGGCAGCAAAGAATCCCATAACATTACGGAGCCTCCTCCATGTTTCACCACAGGGATGGTATTCTTTTCTTTAAAAGCATCATTTTTTCTTGTGTGAACGTAGAGCTGCTGTGACTTACGAAAAAACTCTACTTTTGTTTCATCTGTCCAAAGGATATTCTCCCAGAAGGACTGTCAGGCTTGTCAGCATTCAATTTAGCAAACTCCAGTATGGCTTTTTTGTATGTTTTGCAGAAGTAGTCTTCCTGGGTCTTCTACCATAGAAGCCACTTTCAGTCAGACAGTGATGTTGATGTACCTTGATGCTGGAGGTCAGCCACGATCTATTTTGAAGTTTTCCTTAGTTCTTTTTCCACCATTTCAACTATCCTTCTGTTCAACCTGGGGTCAATTTTCCTCTTGCAGCCATATCCAGGGAGGTTGGCTTCAGTCCCATGGACCTTAAATTTCTTCATAATATTAGTAATCATGGTCACAGGAACATGAAGTTCTTTGGAGATTGTTTAGGAACCTTTACCTTTACCATCTTCCTCCTCAAAAAACTGCTTTTCTTTCTCTTGTCCATGTTCACTGTGTAGCACACAATGACACAAAATGCCTGAGTACTTTTCTCCATTCAAATAGGCTGAGTGACTGATTGAGACTGAAGACACCTATGGTATTAATTAAAATAAATAGTTTGCTTGAGAGATCACTAAAATCCAATAATGTCTTTTAACTTTTAAGGTACCAATACTTATGTCTATGCCATTTTTGTTTTATTATTTACAATAATATGTTAAGTTATACATCAAAAGCAAGGTGCACCATGGAATAAAGAATGGTGGATGCCATTTATTTGTGTCAGTTTCAACTTATTTCATGGCAAATTGGGATTCTTTGGGAAAAAGTGGAAGGGTACCAATACTTTTGGCCCCATCTGTATCTCTAATTTATAAGGAGGGGAACAATCCAACCCATCTAAATTCATATAGATTTATTTCCTTACTGAAGATAGATTAAACTTTTGAAGGTTATTCTTGCAGGAAAGTTAAGAGTCTCTTTAGTGACTTAATTCATCCTGCTCAGACTGAATTTGTCACAGACATATGAAAGATAGTGGTAGATATATTTTGACCACTGATAAAATCATAAGAAAGTATTTAAAATTTTATTGATATGGAAAAAGCTTCTGATAAACTGGAATGGCTTTTCATATTCATGACTATGAAGAACATGAACTGTGGTTAGAGTTTTCTCTCATGGATACAGAATATTTATCATTAACAAGAAGCTAAAATAATTATAAATGGATTTCTGTCACAAAAATGTGTTGTTATGAAAACAGCAAGGCAAGGTTGTCCTCTTTTTCCTCTGTTTTTACTGCCATTAGAACCAATGGCAAGGAAGATATGGCAAGAGAGTAAAATTTCAGAGATGAACTGGGAAACCAAGAGCATAAATTAAAATCATATGCTGATCATGTTATACTTGCTGTTACTAATCTAAAGGGTTCCACAGAATCAATAATGGAACAATGGAACAAGCAACAATGGAACAACAATGGAACAAACATACAACACAGTTTAATATACATCTTAAACTAATCAAATACTTGATAATTTACTTAACCAGAAAAAGATTTATTTAAAAGCAATTATTTACAGATTTAGAAAAATATGTTTTAAGATAGAAAAGC